TAAAGCACTTTCCCCAGGAGGGCCTCAGGTGCAGAGAACGTGGGATTCTGGGAGGTGGCTGCCGCTGGCCCAGGCCGTGCAAACTCTGAGCTGCACATCTGTTTTTTACTCTTTTCCCCCCAAGGTTCCCTCCTTTGACCTTGCCTCCGTGAAAGTCCAGTGCCATCTCCTCTCTTCTGTCCCCCTAGCCTCCCACAACCTCTCAAAATGGAAAACGCAGGTTCCCCTCACCATCTGAACTTGAACTAATCAAACCCTGGCTCCCAGGACCTGCAGAGTTTCCCTACGACTGCGCTCGGTGGGCAGCTGCTGCGCCCCATGCCCTACGCCCCGTCAGAGCAGCCACCAGAGCAGGAGGGCACCGAGGCGGCCCTGGTGTCAGCTTGGATCTCCCGGGTGCCCCGGGGGCGCAGCCAGCCAGGGGCCTGTTCAGATAAGCCCCTTCTTAGCTGTAGCTCAGCATCTCGGAAATGCCGATTTCCATCACACTCGGCGTTCTTGGGTGCAGAAGGGAAACGGAATTTGTATCCAGTCCCGTGGAGTCTGTGCCTGCTCATGCCAACCTGCACCCTCCGAGGACTGAAACACGTGGAGCCTGGCCCGATGTTTGGTGTTTCCATGTCTGCTGGCGTGCGGCGCTCCTTGGGTGGTGTTGCAGAGGTGTTGGAGGGTGTGTGGTGAGCAGGGAGCCTGGGGGGAGGTGCGTGGGCTGGCAGTGCCTGGTTTCCGGTGTGGCGGTGAATCCAGGCTCACCCTACCTGAGTCCCGGGGACTTCGAGTCTGGGCAGAGCTGTGCCCCAAGCTGTTTCAGCCACAAACCTCCCTGAGTCCCTAGCTACCTTCTGCTTGTGTTTTCCTGGGGCGTTGGAGGTGGGCCGAGAAAACCAGAGATAATTTTATACGTTGACCTTGTGCCCTGCAAGTCTGCTGAACTTGTTTATTAATTCTAATGGATTTTTTTTTAGTCTTTAGAATTAAATTTTTTTTGGTCGGGCTGGTGCTGTGGCATAGCAGGTTTATGGGGTAGCTCCCATATGCACCCCAGTTCAAATTGCAGCAGCTCCACTTCTAATCCAGCTCCCTGCTAATGCACCTTGGAAAGCAGTAGAAGATAGCCCAGGTCCTTGGGCTCCTGCACCCACGTGGGAGACCTGGAAGAAGCTCCTGGCTCCTGGCTTTGGATTGGCCCAGCTCTGGCTGTTGCAACCATTTGGGGAGTGAGCCAGTGGATGGAGGACCTTTCTCTCTTTCTCTTTCTCTCCTTTCCTCCCTCCCTCCTTCCCTCCCTCTCTGTAACTCTGCTTTTCAAATAAATAAATTTTTTTTAAAAAAGGCTGCAGTTAAAATGGTACATGTACATTTTTAAAAACATTTTGTTTAGTTACTTTTTCAAGATTATAGGGTGAGTGTTTAATTTAATAGACTCCTTGGGTACAACTATAATTCAAGTTTCAGTATTTTTTTTTAAGATTTATTTATTTGAAAGGCAGAGTTACAGAAAAGGAGAAGAGAGACAGAGAGATACAGATAGAGACACATACACACACATACACACATACACACACACACACACACAGAGAGAGAGAGAGAGAGAGAGAGAGAGAGAGAGATCCTCCATCTGCTGGTGCACTTCCCATATGGCAGCAACAGCCAGGGCTGGGTGAAGCTGAAGCCAGGAGCCAGGAGCTTCATCCAGGTCTCCCACATGTGTGCAGGGGCCCAAGCACCTGGGCCGTCCTCCACTACTTTCCAAGGTGCATTAGCAGGGAGCTGGATCGGAAGTGGAACCGGTACCCATAAGGGATACTGGCACTGCAGGCTGGGGCTTTAACCCACTGAGCCACGGCACCAGCACCCAAGCCTCAATATTAAGTCCATGAATTTTGCCAACTGGCGTTTTGTTAAAATTACGACTACATAGGAGAAGCACAAAAGACAATCAGTACTTTTAAAAAATCTTCCTGTCATATAAATTCTTTTTTTTTTTTTTTTTTGACAGGCAGAGTGGACAGTGAGAGAGAGACAGAGAGAAAGGTCTTCCTTTACTGTTGGTTCACCCTCCAATGGCTGCCGCGGCCGGCGCACCGCGCTGATCCGATGGCAGGAGCCAGGTACTTATCCTGGTCTCCCATGGGGTGCAGGGCCCAAGCACTTGGGCCATCCTCCACTGCACTCCCGGGCCACAGCAGAGAGCTGGCCTGGAAGAGGGGCAACTGGGACAGAATCCGGTGCCCCGACCGGCACTAGAACCGGGTGTGCCGGTGCCGCTAGGCGGAGGATTAGCCTAGTGAGCTGCGGCGCCGGCCATATAAATTCTTTAGTATATGGATGAATAGATGAATGTTGAATTTTCAAATGAATCAAAATTATGGCAAGTATGTCACATACACAACTTATCTATTATATATTTACATGAAAATGACATATAATTTGATGATCTTTTATTTTCCCCTTGTATCTCAGGGTTTGCTCATGAGTCAGTGAGTAACGGGTGAGCGTTCGGCACAGCAGTTAAGACGCCACTTATGCCATCTGTCTTCGTCCTGCGTCTGAGGCCCCTGGTTCAAAACCCAGCTCTCCATTCCACTGCAGGCCCGGGTTCGAGGCCCGGCTCTCCATTTCACTCCAGCCTCCTACTAACATGCTCTCAGGGAGGCAGCAGGTGATGGCTCCAATGCTAGGTCCCTGCCACCTCTGTGGGAGACCTGGATGGCGTTCTAGGCTCCTGGCTTCAAGCCTGGCCCAGCCCTGGTTGTTGTGGGCGTTTGTCTCTGCCTTTATCTCTTTCCCTCTGTATCTGCCACTCACAAATAAATGAATAAATAAAATTTAAAAATTTGAAAAGTCACCTGCATTTCCTTGCCCTGCTATCTGGTTGTGGCTGAGGACTTAATGGTGAAATTTCTTTCTCTCTCTCTCTCTCTTTATTTTCTTGGACTTGTAGCTAAAGTGACACTTTTTTTTTAAGGCTTTTAGCCACCTGAAGCCAAGGTTCTTGGTTTCTGTTTGTGGTTGATAAGAGGAAAAGAGGGAGGAGAAGAGGGGGACAGGGCCCGGTGCCTCTGGGCAGTAGCGTCCCTGAGGCCTGGCGGGAGGAGGCCCTGGGAGATAATCAGTTTCTCCTTTCCCCTTGTAGCTAGCATCTTTAGAATGCCCGCACTTCTAGGTGGCTACAGCTGCTTTCTTCTCTGAGTTTCTCTGGAAGCTTAGCTGGTGAGTTCCTGGCATGTGGAGTGGTTCCCTGTGGTCGGCCTCGGTTCCGGCCTCTGTGTGGGCCTCTGAGGCCGTGGCCTCCCTCTCCTGGCTGTCCCAGTCGACCCATGAGGGGCTGGGGCTGGCATCCCTCAGCCTTTTTAGTGTTTTCATTTTTAAGTTAAAATGTATTTATTTATTTATAAAAAAGATTTATTTACTTGAAAAGCAGAGTTAGAGCGAGAGAGAGAGAAAGAGGGAGGTCTTCCATCTGCTGGTTCACTCCCCAGTTGGCTGCAACGGCCAGAGCTGGGCTGATCTGAAGCCAGGAGCCAGGAGCTTCTTCTGGGTCTCCCACGTGGGTGCAGGGGCCCAAATGCTTGGGCCACTGCTTTCCCAGGCCATAGCAGGGAGCTGGATCGGAAGTGGAGCAGCCAGGACTCGAATGGGCGCTCCAGTGCAGCTCGCCAGTGTCACAGACAGCTTGATCTGCTACACCACAATGCCAGTCCCCGCCCTCTCCACTTCTGGCGATGTTTTAAAGGGTTTTCTCCAGGCCCGGGGGCTGCAGCACCATGCAGTGTCTATCTCAGGGCTGTTTGACGTCCTCTGCTGTCCTTGGTGACAGGGACCAAGTGCTGAGGGCGATTGTATTTGACCGTCAGAGTCTCAGCTGTGTGGTGCTGGGGATTAGTCACAATTCCATGAGGGTGGGGAATGGGGAAGGCAGCACCCAGGGCTACAGAGATGGCCACTTGTGTATGGGGCGTGGCTGCCCATGCAGGGTCACCCCAGGGGCTGAGGTCTGACTCACACCCCCATACCGACCACTGACACTCCCGTGTGAATGGTGACACTTAACTATGTCCCCTCTGCCACACCCTGCCAGGCACCATTTCGTTACCTTTTGCTTGGCATTGTTCTATGGCCTCTGGAGCTCACCCTAGCTCAGTAGCCTGGGCAGTGGGAGGAACAGTCAGCACATGGCAGCTCCATGGGAAAAAGGTGTCAGGAGCGTCACACCTCACTCCAAAGCAGGGTGGGCTTCGCCCGTGTGCCTCCCTGGCAGGCTCTCGAGACACACGGGCTCGTGGCCCAGACTGAGGCTCTTCCTTCTGATGGGGCACGTACCCACCCAGGACCGGTACAGGGTGGAAGCCAGGCAGCGTGCTCCAGGGGACCAAATGGCACAAAGTGGCGCAATCGGTGGTGGGGCGCGGTGCTGCTCACCGATGGTTGCCACACCGGGTAGGATGTTGACAAGCAGTAGTGGCTCAAAGGAATTTTTTTAAGAAAATATTTTATTTATTTATTTATATGAGAGGTAGAATTACAGACAGGGAGGGGGAGAGGCAGAGAGAAAGATTTTCTGTCTGCTGGTTCACTCCCCAAATGGCTGCAATGGCCAGAGCTGCACTGATCCGAAGCCAGGAGCTTCTTCCGGTTCTCCCATGAAGGTGCAGGGGCCCAAAGACTTGGACCATCTTCTACTTCTTTCCCAGGCCACAGCAGAGAGCTGGATCAGAAGAAGAGCAGCCGGGACTCAAACCGGTGCAGTCCTATGTGCAGTCCACTGGGAGCAGGGGCAGTGGGGCTAGCGCGCTGTCCCATGGGAGGGGGTCACAGGAAGAGGAAGCTGGGGAAGGCAGACGTCAGCAGCCAGCACACTGAGGTAGAGGGTGCGGGTGGGGCTGCCGCCCAGGACACAGTCCAGCACAAGGGTCAGAATTCGCGGCAGTTATTTGCTCTGAAGTTTTGGGAAGTTGGAAAGATCCCCAGAGAAGAGGAAACTGGGTTCAGAGATGCGTAACCAAGCGTGTAGAGCCAGGGCGGCGGTGGGGTTACAGAACCTGGAGCCTGGTGCCTCCCAGGAATGGCCTCATGTCCTGTTGTGCAACTTCCCGGAGCCTTGAGGTTGGGGCGGCTCACTGCAGCCGTCCCGGAGCCCGAGGCGGCCTTGGGAGCTGGTGCGCACGGGGATGAGGACGGCTGGGCTCTGGGGGCTGCTGTGGACACTCCTTGTCTCAGGTAAGGCGAGGAAGAGGTGTGAGCGGGGGAGGCCTCTGGGAGGAGACCCTGGCAGGCCTCTGTCTGTGACTCTAAGTCTGTTTTCTAAAGAAGTTTTATTTTCTTTTTACTTTTTTTTTTTTGACAGGTAGAGTGGACAGTGAGAGAGAGAGATAGGGAGAAAGGTCTTCCTTTGCCGTTGGTTCACCCTCCAATGGCCGCTGTGGCTGGCACGCTGCGGCCGGCGCACCGCGCTGATCTGATGGCAGGAGCCAGGTGCTTCTCCTGGTCTCCCATGGGGTGCAGGGCTCAAGGACTTGGGCCATCCTCCACTGCACTCCCTGGCCACAGCAGAGAGCTGGCCTGGAAGAGGGGCAACCGGGACAGAATCCGGCGCCCCGACTGGGACTAGAACCCCGTGTGCTGGTGCTGCAAGGTGGAGGATTAGCCTGTTGAGCCGCGGCGCCAGCCAGAAGTTTTATTTTCTTAAAAGCAGAGAGAGAAAGGGAGAGGTAGAGGGAGGGGAGGGGGAGGGGGAGGGGAAAAGGGAGAGGGAGAAGGAGGGGGGAGAGGGAGGGGGCTGCTGAGGACCCAGACAGGAGCAGAAGAGGCCTGGCACCCACTGTCGCAGAGGTCAAGGCCCTAGGCCTCCGTCACATTCGGTGGGTGGAGGCCTGTGGCTGAGGCCTGGAGGAGGGTCCCGCATGGCTGGGCCTTTTCCTCTTGTGATGCGACAGCGCCCACCTGCACTATGCCTGCCATAGTGGGGCCTGAGTCGCGCCTCCTCCTGATCTTATGCACGGGAACCTAAGGCGAATGGAAAACAAGGCTGGTCCTGGGAAGGCGCGGACGCAGGGAGGGGGTTCTCCCGGGATCCCCTGCTTCTGCAGGGCACGGGCCGCCCCTCGCAGAGACCGCCCGTCAGCCCTGCTTCAGGGCTCCTTGGAGCGGGGACGAAACCCAGGCAGATGGGAGTCAGGTCCTCAGGCACCAGTGCGTCCCCTGCTTTGCTTTTACTTTTCTTTCTTTCTTTCTTTCTTTCTTTCTTTCTTTCTTTCTTTCTTTCTTTCTTTCTTTCTTTCTTTCTTTCTTTCTTTTCTTTCTTTCTTTCCTTCCTTCCTTCCTTCTTTCTTTCTTTCTTTCATTCTTTCTTTCTTTCTTTCTTTCTTTTCTCTCTCTCTCTCTTTCTTTCTCTCTCTTTCTCTCTTTCTCTCTTTCTCTCTTTCCTTCTTCTTCCTTTGAAAGGCAGAATTACAGAGAGAGGGAGAGACAGAGAGCTCTTCCATTTATTGGTTCACTCCCCCAATGGCTGTAATGGCCAGGGCTAGGTTAGGCCAAAGCCAGAGGCCTGGAACCCCGTCCTGGAACCCCTGGAGGTTGTGGCCATTTGGGAAGTGAACCAATAGATGGAAGATCTCGCTGTGTCTCCCTCTCTCTGTAGCTCTGCCTTTCAAAGAAATAAATCAATCTTAAAGAAAGAGAGAGAAACAGAAGTCCCAGAAGAAGTGGCCTTCAAGTCTGGGTTTGCCTTGAAAATCTTCAGGCGCCCTGGGGTTGGGTCTTGCCAGCATCAGGCTGAGGTGGGCTGAGGCTGCCGGAGCTGTTGGCATGTCCTGGTGGGCAGGCATGGGCACCACCAAAGAGGCAACTCGGGCATTTTCATAGGGCACTCCTGAATCAACCATCCAAAGATTACCCCGAGTGCAGCCACATCCATATTAGTAACAGCAACAGTATTTATGAAGCAGTAGTACTAATGACAAGGGTAGTGTTAATGATAAGAGAAGTATTAACGGCAGGAGTAGTACCAGCAGTGGTATTAATGACAGTTGTAATATAAATAGCAGCAGTAGTGTTAATGACAGCAGCATCAGTAACAGCAGTAGTATTAATTACCACAGTGATACTAATGACAGCAGTAGTATTAGCGGCAGCAGCAGAAGTCATCTGTAGCAGTAGCCTGTAGTGGTTCAGTCTGACCCAGCGTTACCGTCCAGCCTGTTGTCTGGTGTCCCACAGAGGAAGGTACCCAGGCCTGAGTACCTGAGCTATGTTCTAAATCATGGAGCCCTGTGTGTCCGGCTGAACACACAGGCCTGGATCTTCTCACCTCCATGCTGTGTGGCCTCCCACGAGCCAGGCCCCTGTGTCCCAGGCCAGAGGGTCATCCCCAGTGCTGGGTGGTCAGCCCGGTTCAACCTCCCAGGGTGTGATGGAAGCTGCTGTCCTATAACCCAGGGTTCTCACACTTGGTCCTGTTGGCATTTGGGGTGAGACCTGTACCTTGCCTTAAAAGGATGCTGAGTGGCACCCCTGGCCTCGAGCCACCCCAGCCTCCAGTTATAACAACCCCAAAGAGCTCTAGACATTGCCTACTGTCCCCAGGGGGACAAAAATCGCCCCCAGCTGAGGAACACAAGTGTGAGTCCTTGGCTTTGAAATCGGAGGGGCAGTTTCTGGGCTCAGGGCAGTGGGAAGTTCAAGGGAAGTGGTTTGAGAGCACAGCTGAGTCCATGACTCAGATAACATGGCCAGCTCTCTCCAGCACTGCCCCCAGCCCAGCCTCGGATCCTCCACCTGCTCAGACAGCCTCTTACCACGCAGTGGAAAAATAGCATCTCGCCGGCGCCGCGGCTCACTAGGCTAATCCTCCGCCTAGCGGCGCCGGCACACCCGGTTCTAGTCCCGGTTGGGGCGCTGGATTCTGTCCCGGTTGCCCCTCTTCCAGGCCAGCCCTCTGCTGTGGCCTGGGAGTGCAGTGGAGGATGGCCCAGGTGCTTGGGCCCTGCACCCCATGGGAGACCAGGAAAAGCACCTGGCTCCTGGCTCCTGCCATCGGATCAGCGCGGTGCGCCAGCCGCAGCGCGCCGGCCGCGGCGACCATTGGAGGGTGAACCAACAGCAAAGGAAGACCTTTCTCCCTGTCTTTCTCTCTCACTGTCCACTCTGCCTGTCAAAAAAACAAAAAAAACAAAAAACAAAAAACCAGCATCTCATGAGCTGATCCCTATGCCCCGGCTTAGGTGCTGTTCCTTAGCTTGCCTGCCAGGAGCATGCCTTTGCAGCCAGCTCTTACCCTGTCCGTCCCCCTCTCTCATCTTGCCCTTCTGTCATGTTCCAGCCACTCAGGGCCTTAGCATAATGTCCTGTGTTCTGCCTCAGGTCAGGCCATTTCTACCTGTAGAAATGATCAGTTATGAAATCTGATTTTTATGGAGCAGAAGCCGTTTGGCTCTTGGAGTGAAAACAACAACAAAAACACCCTGCTTCAGGGTGGACAGGCCTGGGGCCTCGTGCCAGCTTAAACAGGCAGCTCCTGCACCCTTGTGTTTCCCAAAGAGAGGCCACCTTTCTCCCAGAGTGCACCTCTCTTTTCTGCACACAGAACTGGGAGCAGCACCTGAAGACAACGAGGAAAAGTACGTCCTGGAAGCGGGGCAGAACTTGACCGTGAGCTGCCCTTTCAACATCTGGAAGTATGCCAGTAGCCAGAAGGCATGGCAGAGGCTGGAGCCTGGACAGGAGCCCCTGACCCTGGTGGTCACGGACAGGCCTTCGGGGAAGCCCAGCACGGTGCGGGTGGGGCGGTACGAATTGGAAGACGACCCGGATGAGGCCATGTTGAGCGTCCGGATGACGCAGCTTCAGGTGGCGGACTCAGGGCTGTATCGCTGTGTCATCTACCATCCCCCCAAGGACCCCGTTGTTCTGTTCCATCCTGTGCGCCTGCTGGTGACTCAGGGTGAGTGACCTGGGCCTGGGTGGGGACAGGCAGCCAGGGGAGGCTGGGGCGGTGGCGGTGGGAGAGCTGAGCTGCGACTCAGGGCTCCTAGCAGTGTGTCTTCTCCCAGAGGCTGCGTGTGGCAGGTCCCCCAGTGCTGAGCTGGGGGCTGCTGAGCCTGGGATCCCCCTTAGGGAGCAGAGACTGTTTGGGGCTATGGCCATGGGAGGCAGGGGTTTAGGGGAAGGCGACTGGTAGACTTGGGACACTTGAGGCCCAATCTTCAGGTCTTGTTAGCAGTCACTTCAGAAGCCTCCTGGTGGCGCTCCCGGTGCGTCCGGAGCAGGGCTTCTCCCATCTTCCCGGGGCCACAGACCAGCCCAGGATCTTTTTTTTCAATGCAGAGCCCGACTCGGGGGTCTATCATGGAATCCGCTCCCAGGGGACGCTGGTGCTGCTGGTTCATGGCTCCCATTTGGGGAGCAAACCTCCAGCGCTTCTCAGTCTCCCCATTTCAGCTCTAAACGCTTCAGGGGGAGGGCCTGAGCCCTGTTGGGCTTTGTATTGCCAGTTCCTAATCCAATGTCTGGCATACATTAGATTCTCAGCAGGTGTTGATTTGATGAATTAAGAAAGACAGAGGAAAGGGAGACAGGGTACATTTCTAACACCGAAGGAATTTGAAGCCTAAGGAGGACAAGTTATGTATGTGATGTATGAATGAAAGATAACTTGTACCACAGAGTGTCCCAGGCGCAGGTGAATGGAAGACAGAGTTCATGGTCAATGCAGAGTAATGAGGGAGCATTCTTGGAGATGGGGGTGCACATCATTTGGTGAAGATGGCAGGCAATGCTTTCCAACAATGCAAATGCCTGAAAATTCTTTTTTCTTTTCCTTTCCCTCTCTTTCTTCCTCCCTACCTCTACTCTGTCCTGCTCATCCTTTTTTTTTCTTTACTTCTTACTGTCTTTGACCCCATACTATTTCTTGGATTTTAGCAAAAGAAAATCTTGCATCTTGAATGGACATGTTCATTTCTCTTCATAGCTCCATTTACCCTACTGGTTATCAATCTGTCCATCTGTCCATCCACCCCCCACCTATCCATCCATCCATCCATCCATCTACCCACCCACCTATCCATCTATCCATCCATCCATCCGCTTACCCATCCATCCATCCACCCATTCATTGTATTTATCTTTTATCAATATTTTATTTATTTTAAAGGCAGAGTAACAGAGGAGAGGGAGAGGGAGAGGCAGGGAGGGAGGGGGAGAGAGAGAGAGAGATATATATAATCTTCCATCCGCTGGTTCACTCCCCACATGGCTGCAACAGCCAGAGTTGGGCCAGGCTGAAGCCAAGAACTAGGAGCTTCCTCTGGGTCTCCCACAGATCCATCGTATTTCTGTATCTGTATCTATCATCATCTACCTATCCATCCATTAAATGTGCCTTCTTGCAGGTCAATCAGTTATGCCTACCTCGAACAAGCATCCTCCACAGAGCCCGACTCCAATTCCCATCTTCACTCCTACCACTCCCAAGGTCTTGAGCACACGGCACAGCAGGCCCAGAACCTTGACCCAAACTCCACCTAGGTCAACTGCTGTTGTCTCCACTCCTAGGACTGGAGTCCACCTTACAAATGTGACACATGTCACCAGGTATGGTTTCCAGGCCTCTAGGCGCCGGGTTGGAGCATGGAGCCCTTTGTACCCCAGTCCTTGGGTTAAAAGGATATGGGCAGTGAGGGATGGGAAGGGTGGGGCAGGAGCAGACTTGAGTCACTTCCGGCTGTGTGGGAATTCCCAGAAGGAAGTGGTGACAGAGAGAGGAGGGGGTGACTCCCAGGGAGGCTGCTGTTCCCCCAGTTCACTGTCTTCGTGGCCTTGCACACCAGAGGAGTAAGGCGAGTGAGATGGCGCCTGTGCCGAATTGCGGTACACTCAGCCAGCCAGGGCCTGATGGTGTAGTGGGACAAGCTCTGGGGGTGAGGGGGACTTGGATCCTGGGGCCAACCAGGCAGACAGTGTGGCTCTGGGCAAGTGGGACCCTGTGCATGCACTAGAGAGGCTGGAGGAGCCCCTGGAGCACAGCTGCCCTCAGCAGCCGTGGCAGGCCGGGAGCTCCGGAGCCCCCTCAGTGTGTGTTGCAAAATCTCATTGCGCCGTCAGAGCCGCTAACTTGGTATGCACGGCCCTCTGCAGCTCTTATTGAATGTCGATTGACTGCGAATGTGTTTATCATTAAATATTGAATTAACACAGAGAGCGAGATAACTCTTCCATATTCCCGCTAATCTAACATGTCTTTTTTCTCCATATTATCTTCTAGTCTTGATTCATGTCTACACTTCCTTTAACACAGCAGTAATTCTAATTACACGCATGTCACTACTTTCCCCACCGAAATTATTCTTTGTTCTTGCTATCCAGTCTTCATTATAATTGCAATGAGTGCATACTTTTCTATCAATTGGAAAAGCTGTGGCGTACATAACCATTCACCTAGTCTTAGACAATGATACGGCTTTTATTTTTTAAATAGTTTATTCAAATGAAATTCTCTTAAGAGAACTTCGAACATCGATGGCATTCTGTTTACCTACAGCACATGCAAATGGTCTGCCAACCAGCCAACCAGGAACAATCGGCAGGGTAACTGATAATAAATAGGTAAAAGATCCGTAGCAGCTTACCAACCTGAGTTTAGTATTTTAAAAATATTCCTTTTAAAATAAACATGAACTGCTTCCCCTGTCATTAACGAGTTTTAGGAAGTGATGGCAGGCAAAGCCATCACCGGGCTGTGCTGGGAAGGAAGCCCCAAGGGGGCTCTGTGGCCCCAGGGCTCACACCCAGTGCTGCTCCTCTCCTGGCGGCGGGAGCTGGAGAATTTACATCTGGGGACATAGGCATTTCCAGGTACTCTGGGAGTCTGCTGGCCCGTGTGCAGCCCGAGAGAGAGAGAGAGAGAGAGAGAGAGAGAGAGGCGCAGATGGTGGCTAGCTGGAAGTGGTCCTGGCCTGGGAGCCACACCTGAGGCGGAGCACAGGCTGGGGAGAAGCAGTGGAGTTAATGGAGCCCAGAGTGGGGGAGCCTTCCTGCAGCTGGCAGAGCCAGGGCGGAGGCTGGCACCGTGGGCAGTGCTGCTGCGACTGACCGCCCAGGGCGGGAGCAACGCTGTCTTCCCTGCTCTGTTCCCTGCCCCTGGCTCCTTGGCCCGCATCAGTGTCTCCAGTGGTTGAACTTGACCAGGCAGCCCTGGGGACACAAGGACAGGGCTGAGGCTGGGGTGTGGATTCCGCACAGAGGGGCAATTTGCCCCTGTGCGTCACATCCCTCCTTGCTAGTTCGTCCTTCCAGGCTAACTCACACCGCATTAGCCGGGTGTCGGTGTTCTGTTCTTCTCTCACTACCTGTTTCTCCATTTGTCCTTGCATCTTAGTGGCATACATTGTGTTCTTATCCCCAGCTGCCTGCAGCTGGGATAGCCCAGGCTCCTGTTATTTGTATCTCTCTTTTTTAATGATATGCATCGGTGGTTGCATGGGACTTTTAGAATCATCTTGCTAAAAAAAAAAAAAAAAAATCATGCCGGGATCCAATCAGGGCTGGAGTCTTCTTGGTTTATAGATGGGGAATCTGAGGCTAAAACGAGAAGTGACAATGATGGGAAGTAGGCCAGAGTCCTGAGAACAGACAGGCTTCCTACCTGCTCATCACAGAGAAGGAAGCTGGGGCTAACCAGGCCAAGGCCTCATGGACCCCGAGCTCAACTAAATATCTTTCTAACTCATAGTTTCGGGCAATGGGATAACCTGCATAGCACAGAGGCAGACGCTAGGAGGAAGTTGTGAGAGGCCCTCAGGGGATGAGGTTGGGGTGCAGAGGGATTCCATGAGGTTGGGGTGCAGAGGGAGTCCATAGCTCTCCGCTGCGGCCACACCCCTGCCGGCCATCACCCAGTCTCCTCTCTCCCCAGGATCCCTGTGTTCGGCATTGTCGTCTCCGTGGTCTGTGGACTCCTGAGCAAGAGCCTGGTCTTCACTGTCCTGTTAGCTGTCACCCACAGGTCATTTTCACCCTAGAGCCGTGAACCCACAAGAATGACCTCTGGGTGTGGACCTCTGGCTGCTTGGGCTGCCCACGTGCCATAGCAGAGGGCCTGGGTTCCAGTCCCAGTTCTACTTCCAATCCAGCTTCCTGCTCATGCACACCCTGGGAGGTGGCAGGTGAAGGCTCAAGTACTTGGGTCCCTGCCACCCGTGTAGGAGATGTGGATTGGGTTCCTGGGTCTGGGCTTTAGCCTTGCCCAGTTCTAGCTGTTGTGGGCATTTGGGGAGTGAACCATTGGATGGAAGATCTTTCTCTCATTCCCTCTCTCTGCCTTTCAAATAAATAAAAATAAATAAACATAAAACTTTAAAAAATAAAGCAACAATAAATGAATGGATGGGGCTGGCTCCACGGTGTGGCAGGAAAGCTGCTTCCTGGGACACCGGCATCCCATGTGGATGCTGGTTCGAGTCCCGGTTGCTCCACTTAATCCAGCTCCCTGCTAGCAGCCTTGGAAAGTGGTGGAGGATGGCCCAAGTGCTTGGGCCCCTGCCACCCACAAGGGAGACCCAGAAGAAGCTCCTGACTCCTGGCTTCGACCTGACCCAGCCCTGGCTGTTGTAGCCATCTGGGCAATGAATCAGTAGATGGAAGATCTCTCTCTCTCTCTCTCTCTCTCTCTGCCTCTCCTCTCTCTGTGTAACTCTGACTTTCAAATAAATAAGTAAATCTTTAAAATAAATAAATGCGTGACCTCTGACCTTCAGAAGAAGAGGGAAAAAGCGAGGCTTAATGACCTGGAATGAGTCTTAGTCACAGGTGACTTCTAAGGCTCAGGATCCCGCCTCCCCACCCCTGCCATCACCCCGGGTGGGGCTTCAGCCCCCAGAAGAGAAGCCGTCCGCCCTGGCCCCCCCAGCGGCTCAGGGTGCACGTGACGTGAAGGCGGAGTCCAGGACATCTCGGTTTGCTGGCGCTCTGCAGCTGATCTCTTTGCCACTTGCCCTTCTCCTGGGCCAGACCAGGTAGACCAGCTGACTACAGAACCATTCAGGGACTCAGCCTGGCCTTGGGCCCTCCTTGCTCTGGAAGCCATCACCTGGTTTTCCCTTTGTGGGCGGCCGCTCCAGCACTCCCGGGCAGGGGCGATAAACACCAGGAGAGGGCAGGATGCTGCCAAAGGATCTGCTCAGTTGGGACAGAGAAACCCAGAAACCTGGGACCGCGCTGGGAAGGCGAGGTGGGGGTCTCGGGAGGGGCTCGAAGCAGAGCCACAGACTTGCCGAGTGCGAGCGTGCCTGCCTGCCTTTTCTCTCTGTACCTGGAAGCAGCCACAGAGGCAGAGGCTGAGTGACCAGAGTGAGGCCGTAAAGGCTCCCTTATTGCAAGGCCCACAGCTGTGCACACGGAGCCACTGGGGCCCTGTCTGATCTCAGCGCATCGCTTCATTGTCTCAGGAGGGGCAGGAGTGGCTAGGGTGGGGGGCAAGATCCCGCCAGCTGGGCTCTGCGGGCTGCCCCAGGAGCTCTCCTGGGTCCCTTGGCTCCCTGCTCGGAGTCTGCCCACCCCTCGTCTTCCGCTGCCTCCCTTGCCCTCTCGTTTTCTGGTATCCAGTCTCTCCTGTCTCCAACAGACTGAGAGGAGGATTTTCCTGTTTACTGCTGGGGCTGTAAAAGGGAAGGGGCCTGCAGGTGGGAGATTGGGGTTGGGGGGGTGCCTTCCACTCCAGTGCAGCCGAGGCCAGCTCCACCCTAGACTCCCCAGGAGCAAAGCGCCTTTACCACATGCAATCCACTTAGCTGGAGGAAAACAGATACCAGGGTACCCCAAGAGTTTGTGGAAAATGTGTATCATGACAAAATTGTAAGTGGACTTCACAGAGTTTTTTTTTTTTTCACCCAAATACACTTGCCTTTAAAAATTATCTCTTTAGAGATGTAGGAAGACACACAGAGAGAGATACAGAGAGAGAGAGCACTCATCGCTGGCTCATTCCTCAAATGTCTGCAATGATGGGGGCTGGGCCAGGCTTATCTTTTAATTCCCTCTCCCATGAACTTGCTGAAGGCCCCGTAATCGGCTTGATTTCCCTCAACACTTGTGAAACAAACACCCTGGGGTGCTCAGGCACTATATCCTCTCCCTGAGCCTAGTTCCTCCTTGTCCTGGTGCTCAGACCGGACCGTAGTCTCTGCAGAAGCACTCCACCCAGAAGCTGGCAGCCCAGAGGTGGCCACACAGGGGCAGGGTTTGCCCTCTGAGCCGGCGGGGCTGGGACCGGCGGGGTCACCACAGCGCTTCTCAGACTGCCGGCCTTGGGCCCCCTGTGTCACATTCCCCTAGAACGTAAAACAAGAGCCTGGGCCCCAGGGCCCCTCCAGATCCGCTGAATCAGGGGCACAGCTCTCTCTTTGTCGCTCTGCCTTGTTTCTGTCCTCCCTCCCAGACACCAGCCATTCACATCTACATCCTGGAACAACAAACTGCACGCGTTACAGTGCGCGTGCTTAATTTAACCCTAGATTCGCGGTATTGAAGTCCAAATATCAAAACTGCTTGAAACTTTATATGCAATCCAGGAGCTGCCTTCCTCTTTGAGGGCTCCTTCAGGCCACCCAACCCACCCCCCAAACAGCTGTGGTCTCCAAGATCAGGCAACACCTCTGCCCAGTGACTCACCTCCGTGGCCAGCCTCAGGCATCCCTTGTTGGTTTCCCCAGTCTCTGCCCACACCTTCAGCAGACACTCTTGAGTTCGGCGAGCCACCTGCTTCTGGCTGGGACCTTGGTTCATCCAAGAGTGCTGTGTGGTTCATTACACACTCCTTCAGGTTGGACCCTCTCTGGCTTTGAATCCCAGCTCTGAATCTGCTACGGCTTGAACGGGATTTGGCCCCTGAACCCATGCAGGTGTTTAAACCCTCAACTCACACTTTGATGGTTCTTAGTGGGTGGGAACTTACGGCAGTTACGTATGGTGTTGAGCAGGTGGGCCGTGTGGGAGGTCCTTAGGACCGTGCTGGTAATTCTTGGGAGAGAGCTGGTTGTATAAGCTTGATTTGGGCCCAGTTGCTCTCTCGGCTTCTTAGCTTACCTGTGATAGTTTTTCTGCACACACTCTACCATTGCACCATCCATCAGCCTCACTAGAAAACCAAGCCAAAGGGACTGCCCAATCTTGGTCTGTGAGTCTCCAGAACCATGGAGCAAAATGCACCTCCTTCCTTCCTACGGAGCTTGCCTTCGGTGCTGCATTGCGGTCATGAAAAGCTGACCGGTACAGCACCCCTGCAGTGATGGTCTGATCTCCCAGGTCTTTTAATCCTCCTTGCCTCTGCGGGCATCATACCTCCTCACCGTTACCTGTCATGATTCTTGATGCCAAGGACAGGATCCAACTCTGGCAATCCTAAGCAGCCGAGGAAGTGTACAAGGATGTCAGGGACGCTCAGAGTCGGTGAGGCTGCAGGTCTAGTGTGGGGAGTGGGCAGAACTCAAGAGGGAATGGGCAGCCGGGGACAGTCTGGCAGTGCCACCATTGATGCCACTACCCTGGATGTGGGAAGCCACCAGTCACCTGCTACCATGCTGTGCCTCAGATCATCTCCAACTGGCCCTGCATCTTAGATCACATCCTGGGATCCGAACCCCGGACAGAATCATGCTTTTGGCCAAGCTAAGGACAGATCACATGCCTGCCCCAGAACTGCCAGGGAGAAGGGTGGGAGGAGTCTCTGTCTCCACGCTCAGGGAAACAACTCTGCATTCCCGGGAGAGCCACGCACAGGGGCACGTCCCCAGTGGAAAAGGTGCTTGGTGTGTGAGAACCAAGACAGGACAGACATCCCTCGCAAGTCTCCCAACCCTGACAGGATTCAAGGAGACGACCTAAGAGAAGCACCTGGCACACAGTAGGATTGCAAGCCATGGGAGTCACTCCCTTTTACCCCTGTAGGGGTGATCTCCATGCTGACGCCTGGACTGGACACCTTGGGGAAGTCTGCACCTGGAACACAGGCAGAGCACCTGAGGCAGGTGTCACAAAGAGTTTTGGCTGGGCCGGTGCTGTGGTGTAACAGGCAAGCTGCTGCCTGCAGAGCCGACACCCCATATGGGCACCGGTTCAGTCCTGGCTGCTCCTCTTCTGATCCGGCTCCTTGCTGAAGCACCTGGGAAAGCAGAGGAAGATGGCCCAAGCCTTTGGTCCTTGCACCCACATGGGAGACCCAGATGAAGCTCCTGGCTCCTGGCTTTGATCTAGCCCATCTCTGGCCTTTGCAGCCATTTGGGGAGTGAACCAGTGGATGGAGGTTCTCTCTCTCTCTGTAACTCTGCCTTTCATATATCTTAAAAAAAAAAAAAGCTTTGGCAAGTCTGGTCTATTTGGATCACCTGCCTCAGATCACTTGGGGTACGTACTAAAATGCAGATTCCTGGGCCCCTCCCCAACCTGACCAATCAGAACCTCTGGGAGTAGAGCCCAGGTGTGTGTGTGTGCAGCCAGTGTCCTGAGTGATTACAGTATAGAGTGAGATTGAAGGGGCTGGGTCACCAGGGAGAATCCTTGGGCAGGGGTGGGAGGGTGGGGGTGAGCAGCTGTGGCTGCACCGCGCTGTTTCAGGTAGGGCTGGTGGCAGGAGGAGCTGTGGGAAGGGCTGGTGGCAAGGGTGTCGTGGTGACCCGAGAACGTGAGTGGAGTGGCAGGACTTGCAGCGGAGGGGAAAGGGAGCTGCTGAGTGTTTCCCAACAGGACTGCGACCACACGAGAGGAAGTAGCAACAGGAAGGCAGCCATCACAAAGGCCGTGGTCACTCCTTTCTTCATCTTGCGGCTTCTCCTGAGCTGTTCTGTCTTGGCACAGCTCCCTCAGGGTTCCCCAATTGCAGGCAGGGCCAGGCCTCTAGGGGAAGGCAGTGACGGCCCCTATGGACGTCATCTTCCATAAGGGAGGAGCCTCTGGGCCAGCCGGCAGCCAGCGGATCCAGGGAGAGGGATGGGATGGAGGGGCCAGGGCTCTGGGGGCGGCGGCTGCTGCTGCTTCTGCTGCTCTGTGTCCCAGGTAAGGAGAGGTGGGGAGGAGGCTGGGGAGAGGGACCGATGGAGACAGCTGGAGGGAGGGCTTCTCTCATTTCTCCAGGACAGACTGGACCGGGGTCAGGGTATGTGTTAGAGACAAGTGAGGGGAAAGGAAGGTGGGGAATGGGTACCGGTGGCACTGGTCCCCCGATGTAGCAGGGAGTGGCTGATGACACCGAAACTGGAGTTTCCTCTTGTCTAGTGTGTCTTGCAGTTGAGAAAATCACATGGAGTCAACCAAGCAGCCCCCGGCCCTGTGCTGCTGTCCGGACAGGTGCAATGAAGTGTAAGGCCAAGTCCGTCCTTAGAGGACTCTTCTGTTGTGGGCAGAGGAAGAGGGAAACAGCAAGAAAGGGATGAGGAGCCCCAGGGAGGCAAATCTGCAGGCAAAGTCACTTGGCAGGGCACAGAGGAGTGGTGTGGAAGCCCAAGTCAGGTGCAGATCTGTCTCTGCCACTCCCCGCACAGGGGACCCTCATCTCTGAGCCTCACGTTCCTCTTTTGTGAACAGTGCCTATTCCTAAGTGTTCGTTTGAAAGTGGGTCCTACTTCAGAGGAGTGCCCCAGGAATTCAGCAGCTGACTGATGGAAAGCTCTTGGTTAATGTTTAGGACACAGTGCATGCTTAATAAAAGTGATGGCGGGCGATGGTGCAGATGATGTGAGCAGGTGCAGGTGATCCCCAGTGTCCTGGGTCACCAGGGACAAGTCATTATTGCAGGTTGGAGTGGTTCAAGGGACTTCCCTCTGGGGCCTAATGGGATGCCTATGGGTGGAGAGGAGCAGGAAGAGCAGTCACTTTGGGGACCCCAGGAACTCTGGTAAAAGACTGGATGCCAGACAGCAAGGGGCATTGTCTGAGCAGCCATAGAATAGAAAATGGTGATGGATGATGCTCTTTTTAAACTTTTAAAAAAAGATTTGTTTATTTATTTGGAAGGGGGAGGGGGAGGGAGGGAGAGATTTTCCATCTTCACTCCTCACTCCACAAATGGCTGCAATGGCTGAGGCTGGGCTGGCCCGAAGCCAGGAGCCAGGAGCTTCCTCTAGGTCTCCCACGCACGTGCAGGGACCCAAGGACTTGGGCCATCTTCTGCTGCTTTCCCAGGCCACAACAGAGAGCTGGATAGGAAGTGGAGCAGCTGGGACTTGAAACGGCCTCTCCTATGGGATGCCAGTGTCACAGGCAGTGGCTTAACCCACTGCACCACAACACTGGTTTGTTGGTGCTCTTTTGTACATTTTCATTATGATAATTTTCCAAAGTACAAAACGTAGAAAGAACAGTCACCATAAACTCCTTGCCTAGAATCACTCAACCATGAGTGACATTTGGCTTCATTTTTTCCCGTGCACGTGGACACACACACACACGCACACACACGCACATACCCGTGCACACTCACACAGACTCACACTGGCTGAACCATTGCAAAGTAGTTGCAGAATCCTCAGTCCCTCCTGAATGCCCAGTGGAGCCCCTTGTCCTCTTCCTCTGTGATCTCGCGTCTGGTGTGGTCTGCGCCTGGGGATGAGGGTGGCAGAAGAAAGACGCTGACTCAGTCAGGGGTTTTTACCCCTCATTCTAGGATCCCAAGCTGCAGGCGGGGAGCAGGAGGAGGAGCAGAAGTGTCTAGTGGAAGGAGACAACCTGACCGTGAGCTGCCCTTACAACATCATGCAATACGCCACCAGCCTGAAGGCCTGGCAGCGGGTGGGCAGCCGGGGCTCCCTGGAGACCCTGGTACGCACGGAGACTAGGAAAGAGGATCACAACCGGGCCCAGGCTGGGAGGTACCTGCTGGAGGATTACCCCACCCAGGCCATCCTCAGGGTCACCATGACAGATCTCCGGAGGCAGGACGTGGGGCTGTACCAGTGTGTGATCTACCTCTCCTCGCAACAAGTGGTTGTCCTGTATCATCGGATTCGCCTAGTGCAGTGCCAAGGTGAGCACTGGTGAGACCGGTGTCCTCATGGGCTGGGACTTCCCCTGGCTGAAGGGACTGCCATGGGGAGGCGAGGCCGAGAGGTGGGGAAAGTTCTAGACCCACAGTCAGGGCATCTGGGCCTTCTGCTGTCTGGCTCCTCCCTGGATGCCTGTTCTCTCACCTGTAACACGAGGTGATGCCCAAAATCATCTCACCCTGAGGCAGAGAAGCGGCTGGAGGAGCTGGTCACGTGGGACCCGTTGAGTGCCTAGTGGAGCTGGGCTGCTCTCTCCTGGCTGCTCTCTCCCCTGTACGTGGGAAGACCCCAGAGGTGAGGCCATGCCCTAAGTCATTCAGCAGGTGATGGGAGCAGCTGGGCTCACACAGAGGCCCATCTGTCCTGATTGTCCCAGGTGCAGCTGTGTGAAATGGGCCCAGCCGGGAGGTGGAATGCTGTCTCCTTTCTCCAGGGATTTGCGACATAGTAGGCCAGGGACGGACATTGGAGAGCACAGTGAAGGCCTTGTGTTGACCTTGAGGAGCTTCCCGTTGGTGCGGGCACTGGCAGTTCCCCCTCCTCCTGCTGAAAAGCTGGCTGCCCGCACAGGGGGACGCGCTGGGAGCATGGAGCCCCGCGCTTGTGCCCCGAGCTGCACAGTAACCTTCCCGTCTGGGGCTGGTGAGTTTGAGGGACCCCCATGGCCATGACCATGACTGTGGGGCACTTCTGTGAGCCTGGACGTGTTGTAAGCAGCATACACGAGTCGCAGGACAGGGCTGGGGCAAGCAAAGGGACAATGCTGTAGGCAACCTGGGTAATGGAATCAAACCATTCCCAGTACCTGAGAAGCACCCAGCAGTGCCCAGTAAGCAGCAGGCTAGGATGGGTCATTTATGCTCTCAGTTCCATCACCCTTGGCTCCATGGCCCTAGGCTCAGGAACGCCAGGTGAATTTGGTCTCAGTGCCTGTACGCTGTGGAAGTACTAAAATGTAGCCCTCTACAGAGGAGGGATGAATATTGCAGGAAGCCCAGGGTTCTGGATTCTAGATGCTTCTCTATCCTGAAAATATTTGGTGACCTTGGGCAAGTACCTAATCCTTCCCCAGGCCCCAGTCACTCCTGTCAGTTGGGCTTCCCATGGGAACATTCGATGGCTCCAGCATTTTGAGATCCTCTGTGTTTATTGGGTTCAGAAAAATCAAGGACCTTGATCTTCCACTTGGCACAGTTGGCTCACATCAGGCACCAGTCGATGGCTTAGGTCTACTTGCACTGAATCCATCATTCCCTTTCCATGCAGGTCTTTAACTTGAGTCTTAATGAGGACACCAAGAGAAATAATTGAGAATGAATGAGCCACGCTATTAAGTAAGAACCATATCAAGGCCCGTGCCGTGGCTCACTGGGCTAATCCTCCGCCTTGTGGCGCCGGCACACCAGGTTCTAGTCCCGGTCGGGGCACCGGATTCTGTCCCGGTTGCCCCACTTCCAGGCCAGCTCTCTGCTGTGGCCCGGGAGTGCAGTGGAGGATGGCCCAAGTACCTGGGTCCTGCACCCCATGGGAGACCAGGAGGAAGCACCTGGTTCCTGCCATCGGATCAGCGCGGTGCACCGGCCACAGCGTGCCGGCCACAGCGGCCATTGGAGGGTGAACCAACAGCAAAGGAAGACCTTTCTCTCTGTCTCTCTCTCTCACTGTCCACTCTGCCTGTCAAAAAAAAAAAAAAAAAAAAAGGAACCGTATCAAGCTCAACCCTGGATAAACTTAATTTCATCATACCACAAATAACATGCAGTGGTGTTTGATAGCTTCGCATCTCTCCTTCCTGTCCAGTAGTTGAGAAAAGCTTGTGCTAAAGTGGCCAGGGCAGTGGCATCAAGTACAGGTTGTTTCTGCCTGGGGATGTCCTCATCTCACTAGAGAAACAAGAATCTGATCTTTGCTAAAGAGCACTTGCGGAGATCACCGAGACCAGCGGGCGGCTGGGGACTGTCTCCGGAGTTAGGCTAAGATAGAGAAGTCTTCTTTCTGGGCTGGACCGAGGACATTGCTGCCTGGACCATGGCGCCCCTTTGTTCTCCTTCCCTCCTCCAGGTAGAGGAGATCATGACAGTGCTGACTACAGAAAGACACCTACATAACGCAATGACATTTGGAGTGGATGCTGTCCACCCAACTCCACGGTCAGCAGCGCAGGAAGGGATTTTGGGGAGAGGAAGTGGGTTGCAGAGGGCAGGAAGAGGGAGGTGCTGAGCCTGGCGGACACGCTCCATGATGTACAGAAACAGACAGGGGGTGTGGTGTAGGCACGGAGAGTGGGCCAGCTTGACTGCAGTGCGCTGAGAGCTGAGAAACTAGGTCAGGTTCACCGGGCAGGGCCCTGGAGGAGGCTCTGAGGCTGATACCAGCAAGATGCCAAGGACACACAGAGGCATGGGGGTCGGGAGACCGTGGCCCTGGGGCTGGCTTTGCTGCTGTCCATTGTGTGACCTTGGACATTTCCTGTCTACACTGTTCCTAGGGAGGTTGAACTGGGTGGTGTTGAACACTCCTGTCCTTGACCTACAACTGTAAACCTTTCTTCCCCAAACACAGTATGGTGTCACGGCTGTGAACTTGGGAGAGAACTTGCCAGGCTGAAGAAGAAAAGTGGTTCTGAAAGCCTTGGTGGTCCCTCTGCAGCCTAGATTAGGTCAGCTGGGTTGTCAACAGCCTGGGGAGCTCAGGGTGCAGGTCCCGCCTTGGTGAAGCGCTATTGGACACCATAAAGACCCCTAAGACCTTTGGTGTCTTCCAGAACACAGGGCTTCCTAAACTCCACCAACCCTAAAATGTCTTCTGGGTTTGCCATATGTTGGCCCTGAATGAGGGTCGCTGCTCGGAGGCCAGAGCAGAGCAGAGGAGCTCTTTGGAGCCAGCTGGGGCTCCAGGGTCACACCTCAGTTGTGACCCCAGAGAGCCAGGCTGGACCCCGTGGAGGACTGTCCACTGAGCCCTAGCTGGCAGAATGAACTTCGCTTCTAGCTCCATCCCAAAGCTCCCAGCCAAGCCCCGGATGTTACGGCGTCAAGGCAGCAGGATTCCCAGCCAGTGGCCCCAGAGGAAAGGTGCTAAGGTCCTACAGGGCTTGTGGGCCCCTGGTGAGGAGGCACCAGGCCCAGGAAACGCAGCCCAATGGGATCTGAGCAACGAGTTGAGAAAGGGGACCGAGGGGAGTCCTGCCCGTGGCATGGCTCCAAGTGCCAAAGTGGCACAGAGACAGCCAGAGCTGAGGACGCTCCCAAGAGTGAGAGACACTGAAGGTGGTGGGAGTTATGAAGTGTAGGTGAGGGGGTGCATGGTGGGCCACGGTGGGGAGGTGGGGGCAGGTGTTGGGGACGCTGCACAGCGGCGGCTGCAGGGAGGGAGAGATTGAGACGTTCAAAGCGGGATGAGGCATGGCCAGTGCCGGGCTCACTAGGCTAATCCTCCACCTTGCGGCGCCGGCACCCCGGGTTCTAGTCCCGGTCGGGGCGCCGGATTCTGTCCTGGTTGTCCCTCTTCCAGGCCAGCTCTCTGCTGTGGCCAGGGAGTGCAGTGGAGGATGGCCCAAGTGCTTGGGCCCTGCACCCCATGGGAGACCAGGATAAGTACCTGGCTCCTGGCTTCGGATCAGCGCGGTGCGCCGGCCGCAGCGCACCGGCCGCGGCGGCCATTGGAGGGTGAACCAACGGCAAAGGAAGACCTTTCTCTCTGTCTCTCTCTCTCACTGTCCACTCTGCCTGTCAAAAAAAAAAAAAAAAGTGCGGGATGAGGCATTCGGGCTGCAGGGCCCTTGAGGGCTGTGTGGTCATGTCCTCTGTGCTGTGGGCAATGTGACATGAAGGGCCGGCCCCAGACCCTCGGGGGAAGAGTGGGGCTCAGTGCAGAGTAACGCGGTAGCTGAGTTGGGAGGCACAGGGCAGGGGCATGTCAGAGGCCCATTAGATTCCTGAGGGGCCGAGAGCAGAGGTTGAGGGTCAGGGGAAAGGTCAAGGCCTTATCTACAGCCCGGTGAGGCCGCCCTCCCAGAGGGGAGGCAGGGCGCAGGCAGGCCTCGGAGCAGGGTATTCAGCAGAGACCCCTGCGTGGATTCAGGAGTGTCAGACTCACAGAGCCCACTGTTGCCTTTGCCCTCGCAGGCCTGTGGATGCCGGCCACTGTACTGGCATGTGGCTTCATCCTGAACAAGGGTCTGGTGTTCACAGTCCTATTGATCTTCCTCTGCAGAGGTGAGTGGGGGCTGGGTGCAGGCGTGGGTGGAAACGAGGCAGGGGACAGAGGCACTGGCTGCAGATGCCAGTGGAGAGGGACCATCCCTGGGGTCCGCAGAATCAGGCCTGCCTTCTCTGCACGCTGCTGTCAGCAGGTCTTTGGAGAGCAGGCAGGGCCAGCCCCTGGGACAGTACCGGGCGGGGGCTGGGATGCTGGGAGCGGTGTGAAGTGGCTGGGCTGGGTTCAGGATGGGGAGACCTGGGCTGGGGAGGGGCAGGTGAAGGCTGTGCTGCTCCGGAACCCAGGGAGCAGCGAGGGAGAGGGCAAACTGGAGCCGGGGCTGGCACGGACGGTCACCTCCCTCTCTCTCTGCAGGCCAGGCAGCCTCCTGAGCTGGCCTCTGCGCCTGGCAATCTTGGAAATCACACCCTCTCCCCGCCAGGAGCCGGGGCCCTTCCTTGCTCACAACGATGCATTCCACGCTCTGTTCCTTGGGAAATAAAAACCTCCCTAAACTGTGCTGAGCTCCCGGCCCAGCCCCTCTCAGGTGAGAGGAGGCCCCTGGGCCGGCGGCAGAGACCAGGGCCACTGCCCTGGGCACTCTGCAGAGAGACCAGGATTCCCCAGGGATGATTCAAAGGACCTCATGCCTGGTCTCCTGCTGCTCCCGGACTCGCTCTGCTGGGGGTTCTGCGGCCTGTGGGTGAAGTCCACATCAAAGTCCATCATTCTCTTGGTAGTTTTAGCTTTTAAAAATGTTTCTTTATTTTCATCTACTTGAAAACCAGGACAGTGTATGTGAACACAACACATAGTAAAATCTGCCATCTACTAGTTCATTCCCCAGACGCCCATAAGAGCAAGGGCTGGACCAGGCTCCCACATGGGTGGCAGGAGCCCAAGCATTTGAACCATTGTCAGCTGCCTCCCAGGCACATTAGCAGGGAGCCGGCTGAGAAGCAGAGGAGCCAGGACGCTAACCGGCACTCCAGTATGGAATGAGCACATCACAAGTGGTGACTTAACCGGCTGTGCCACCATGCCCACCCCAGCAGTTTTGGCTTTGCAGCAAAATTGAGCAGAAAGTGTAGAGAGTGCCTGTACCTCTCCTGCCCCAAACAGGTTCAGCAGACCTCACCAGCAGGGGTTATTTGTCCCCATGCATAATGTCCATCAGTACTGCCCAGAGCCCATAATCTTCAGGAGAGTTCACTCTTGGTGTTGCATTAGCTTCCATTGCTGTAATTAAATACCCACAAGGACCTACTTAGAAAGGAAGATTTATTTCAACTCGTGGTTTTGGAGGCTCGCGGTCTAAGGTCAGGTGACCCTATTGGGCTGGCATCTGATGAGGGTGGTCACGGCAGATCTGTGTGCAGAAAGATGACCACGTGGCCGGCCAGAAAGCAGAGGGAGGCAGGGAATGCTTGTCCATGAGGTCTCTGTTTGTGAAGTACTGTGACCCGATCATGCCAACGGAACCGCTCGGTCTCTAGACACCAGAATTGGATTAAGCCTCCACACTCAGTGCCACTGACATAGTTTTGGCGTTTAAATATTTGTATGAGCTGGGGAGGCAAACCCTGTTTGGATCACACAGTGTTGTACGGGCTATGGTTGCTGACCAACGGGTGATGGCTGTGTCCACTCACGGGGAGCAGATCCCTGATGATGAGCCTCACTGTAGTGATTAGAGTGGGGGGAAGAGGGCGCTGTTGATTAAGGCTTCCTCCCTCAAGCCTCTGGATTCCAGCCCTTCGGAGGGACAGGGCACAGATCGGCTTTCCTGTCTTTCCGTTGACATTTGCACCCTCCAGCTGCAGCATTGTGGGTCTGCAGGCATGGCAAAGGGGGAGGAAGAGGAGAGAAGAGCATTGAAGGTCTTTTGACAGGCAAGGTTCCATTTGACAGGCAGTGCCCAGCCCCGCCTCCGCCTGCCACCTGCAGTCCCCTTGGTGCCTCAGCTGTATCTGTCTCCTGGCTGAGTGCCTCTGACTCCGCCCACGGTCTCCAAGCACCTGACAGTAGACTTCTGGTCTCCTTCCACTGAAGTCCCCGCCACCTCCAGGTAGCCTTATCGGACAGCATCTGTGACACCTGTGACAACTGCTGCCCAAATGCATGCTCCAGTTTCAGGGCTCCGAGGAGCCCCCCGACTGCACTCGCACCAGTCAACTCCCAGAGTCCCGGTGGGCCCTGTGCAGCCACCGCCCCTTCACTGTCCCTCCTGCACAGCGGAGGCATCTGCGGTCTCTGCCCACGGAAGTCCCCTGACACAGCCAGCCATGTCATTCCCAAACCGCAGGGGACACTGGACAAGGGCTCCACGTTGTGACCTGGAAGCCCCTCCACTGAGGCTGGAGGAGAGCCCTCCCTCACCTCTCCCCTCAGGGTCACGGTGCATGAACGGGGGTCTCGTCTCCAAAGTGTGCATCCAATCTTCACACTCACCCCCGCTTCCCACCCTGCTATGGATGAGGGATCAAGGCAGCCAAAAAAAAAAAAAAAAAAACCCAACACCTGCTTGTTTGTGCTACCCACTGTCTTCCCACCTTGCTATGCCAAAACGGCATCCTCTTTCCTGGGGCTTGAATCAGTTGAGGTTCAATTGTAGGAAGCAAAATCCAAGTGGAAAGGGATCTTTAGAAATAGAGTCGTGGTAAACGATTCACAGAAGAAAATCCCACGTAGCTTCTGGAAATGACTCTCACAGCCACACCACAGGATGGGGCTACGAGGGTACTCAGAGAGTTCCTGGAAAATGCAATAAGTGATTTTGGTGCAAAAATGTTAGAAATCGGGGCTGGCGTTTCGGTGCAGTGTGTTAAGCTGCCATCTGCAATGCTAGCAACCCACGTTGGAGAACTTGTTCAAGTCCTGGCTGCTCCGCCTCCGCTCCAGCTCTAGCTCTCTGCCATGTCTCAGCTGCGGACTCTACCAGCGGAACGAGTGTCTTTCTTCCCTCTCAGCTCAGCTCCAAGTTTAACTCTCATACAGATGCCCTTGACCTGTGGAGCCTCAACTGTATCTGGGAGCCTAGCGGCCAGGGAGTGTGAGAAGTGACTTCATAGATGTTTAGCTGTGGAAGGGAGGCAGAACGAAAATTCAGGGTCAGTCCACAGCATCGACTCAGTCACAGCCAAGACTGAGATGGACGCAGCTCAGGGCATAAAGTTTTGTTGTCCTTTTACTGTCGATGAAAGACAAATATACTTACATGAAAAATAAGCCTTCATTCTTTGCTTTGCTGTGCCAAGCAAACCCTATTACCTGTCAGAAACATTTTGATACTAAGTTCCCAATGACCAAAAGTAGTACACTGAATGCTATGTCATTGAACCGTAGAGAGATAGAGGCAGAGGGTAAATTCCCAGTTTTTCCTGTTTCTGAATTTGTGATGCTTTGCTTGGAAATTAAGGTGTTGAGGAGGAGGACCTGGGCCATCCTCCACTGCACTCCTGGGCCACAGCAGAGAGGAAAGTCCCATTTACTGTCAATTCTCCTCCGTCTGTCCCTGGGAAGAATTGGGAAGTTGAATACAACTCTGGCGAGAACCTGAGAAAGTGAGAGTCCTGGCGCCCTCGGGTGGAGTTGGCAGCACTCAGCCTCCTGAGGATCATCTGGGGCTTCTGCGTGGAATAACACGTGCAGATGCCACACCCAGCATGCCAGTCCCAGATATGCAAGGTCCCTGGCTCCTGTGTCCTGCTCGGGAAACACTGGCCTGCAGCTATACCGCTTTTGCCTTTCACAGACAGCTCTGCTGTGTACTTTGCGTGAACTTTATGCACGGTGTCAGAGAGGTGAAAGTCTGCTGTGTGGTGGGACTGGGGTGCACAGCGCATCACCGCCATTCGCTGGAACGACTGTCCTTGCCCCACTGAGTCAAACAAGCCCGTGGGTGGCAGCTGAGTGACGGTGCGTGGGCCAGGAGGACGCTTCTCAGCCCTCGACTTTGTCCCATCTGTCAGTCTGGTGTTAACACTGTTGAACAAAAATCACTGGCGCCCATTGTTTTGGACTAAGATCCTGCAATCCAGCAAACTAGAAACCCAGATGGGTTCTTCATGCTGAAGTTTCACGTGAACAAAGAGAAACAGAGCTGCTACTGACCTTGAGAGAGAGAGAGAGAGAGAGAATGTCAGGACAACCAAATTTCCCAAACAATCCAGTTTCAACCGTCCTGATGATGAAGCTGCCTGTTTTAATCCTTACAAAAGAGTAACACGAAGTCACCTGATGCTGGCCAATCGGTTAGTTTTTGCTAGTCTGTCTCCCTGTCGCTGTCTCACAAGTAACTTCAAGTGGCCAATGAGTTCTTCGTTCTTGGCTTCTGCGCTCTCCAGCCCTTCTGTCTGGGAAGACAACCTCTGCTCACTGCATCACCTATGCTGTTTCATGGGGATGAATTTTTGCCGGGTTCTAAAACTGCAAATAAAAGCCCATTGAGATCTAAACTGAAACGTTTGTAATTTTGTCTTTTGACAACGCTGGCTGGATGTGTGCTTGAGATAGAACACCCCTAAACCTGGGCCTGCTCACCTGACGCATGGAACGCCCATCACTGACACCAGGATGGCGCAAGAAAGGAGGCGTTCACACAGAGCGCAGACCAGGAGACGGCAGCTGTGGCTTAATTCCTGGGGTCCCCAAAGGTTAGAGGGAAAGGTCCTTGTAGACGCGAATGTCCGGTGTGTGTCCTCGTCCCTGATTGGCCAGTGGTGCTCATGGCTTTCCTTTCATTGGTCAGCGATGCCATATTCTTTGGGGAATTTGATGACAGCAAAATGGGCTTCAGTCAGTCTGGGGTCTCAGTGCAGACGGGAGTTGCCTTTGCTCTGGGCCTAGAGTTCCTGGAAAAGAAACCCCTCGAGACAAGGTGGAGCATCAAGATGTCACCCCTGTGAGAGATCATTGACCTCATGGGTCCGTGATTAGGGACCCGGTAGGGCTGGCTGCACCCTTCCCCCAGTTCAGTGAGTTCATTAATGAGTGGTCAATTTGCAACCCTAAGAGCAGAGCCAGGACTCTTTAGGCTAAGGGGAGGGGCTTGGGAGACTGGGACCTGAATGCACCCAGCACCTGCATTTGAGGCTCTGTGTAGGGCTCGGTCTCATGCTCCAGAAAAAGTCTTACAATTTTACATTTGTTTTCTCTCTTGTGTGCATGTGTGTGTGTGTGTGTGTGCATTGTGTGTTGTTTGATAGTAAGGAGCTGAAGCCATCACTAGAAGGGATGGAAAAGTAAAACCCACAGTTTATATTACATGAAATCCTACAGAGTAGCAAAAGTGAAAAAAAAGGAAACAAAAATTTTGGTTTATGTGTAGGGAGAAAGAGAGTCACAGAAGCACAATAGTAGAGTAAAAGTTTGTAAAAGTCATAACTTTCAAATTAGATTGAATCATGACTCCTTACAGATAAAAAGAAATGCGACAAAAATTTAACTCAGGCAGAAGTTATAACCAGTTAAAAAAAAGTCACGAAGTATAAATTTACACGGGATAAAGGAAAGTGGAAGGAATCACATGTGGAGGCAAACTCGTTACTTCTCTCCCCTCACTCAGGGAAGGGAGACAGGATAGAATTTGCTTGACTACCAATTGCCCATCCTGGATGGAGCTGTAAAATCGCTCTCAGAGAATCAGAGCCAGCTGACGCAGGAAGAATGAATGTTCAAGATGAGGCAGGCGAGGAGGTAGTTAGCAGGGAGGAGCCGAGGTGGGCCTGCACCACCCCGCAG